TGGTTCGGGCCATGCTATCTGTACACCATGATCGATCGAGCCTGGATAATTAATTCAGACTTGGAACACCTCGACTGGCTACGGGATCTCGTCGAGCGGATATACGGGCCATGGTGAACATCGATCGACCTGGCGTGATCAACGTCCATAAATCGAACTTGTTTCCAAATGGACCCGTGAGAAGATACCCTCGATCGCGTTGGATCACCTGTCCAGCATGGTAACCAGACTCCATGAACGTATGATTTTGTATTGACCACGCGAAAAAATGAGATAAGATCGAGAGAGTAATAAGACGATGTTAATGGATTTCAGTTTGCTTCAGATTTTTTCTTTTAAGCAAATTGCAGTTGGTAAACGGTTAGTATATATGTAATTAAGGTATTGTGAAGAGACGATTGTAAAAGTAAATTGGTCAGGCTATTCTACTGATTAGAGTAGTATAGTAAGCAATCACAGTTAGGGTATTAAAGTAGCGAGGAATTGTTCAGTATACGATACGTATACGATAAAAGGTATTTTTAAGGAAATAACTATAAAAAAGAAGTAAGTTAAGATATCGGTTATGGGTTAAGGTATTAAAGTAGTAAGCGCTCATGGTTAAGATATTAAAATACTAAGCCATTGGGTATACGAGTAAAACATAAAGTAATAAACTAGTTAGTACATATATAATCTCGATATCGTATTGAAAGGACTATAAAAGTAATATAATAAGCAATCGTGAGATCAAGCTGTTATAAGATAATATAATATAATCATGGCATTGTGGTGAAATGATTAAAAGTAAGAAAAAGATAAGCAAAGGCTTAGAATATCGAGTCATGTTGGCAGGTTTAAGAAGATTAGCATCTTTATGCTTTCGTGTGAAAATAAAAATTGTGTCGTTAAGAGCATTCCAAGATGAATGGATAGATTGGTAGGCGTCGATCCTCTGCTTAGTCGAAAGCAAATAGTAAGTTCGATTTAATTTACCTAGTACCTGAGGCAGTTTACGAGCCTGCTAGACCGGTCGATACGTGAGACGACTCTTCCGCTCCATGGATTTATCGTTTCGTCTCGCGAAATGTCAAATTGGCAGAGAGCAAAAAGCCAGAATAGCAAGATGACGTTGCCGAAAAACATCATATAACTTTCGAAAGGATCGTAATGTAAATTGTTATTATGTTACACGATGAGGCAAACCATCGAGTCATTGTGCATTTCATTTTTAATTTTCAACGTTCGTTTAACAATCTATGATTAATAGGTTGATTGTTTATGATAAATCGATGATACATTTTATGTTAAGGTTGGTGTAAATTATCTATTGCTGCTTATTTGTAAAGAAACAATTTTCTTTATTATAGACGCTTTTAAGCGATGTGAGCGGTGTAGACGGTATATAGGACGAGAGTGGAACTAAACGCTTCTAATCGAGGTACGCGGGTTGTGTTTCGATGCAGCCACGACCTGATGACTAATTAGGGTGGCTCGTTACACGTAGCAGTTCCTTAATTGGTCGATTCTTGCACGACGACAATCGAGTTAACGGTTTCTTGTTCATATAAATGCCATAGTTCATTGACTTCTGTTAATCGACGCCATACGATCGGTAATGAAATTTAGTTCGACGAAGGAATTCGCAGCGTCAATTGAAAATATTAAATTTCAGTTGTAGCTTCACGTCTAGACGCGATCGATACAATTATTGTAATGGCTGAGTTTATAATTTACGCGATTAATTTGATTAATTTGAAGATAGATATCCGAGTAACAAATTATTATTTTCATTTATTATTTCATGTAAAATATAAATATAAAGAGTTAAAAGATTAAAAAGTAAAGTTTCTTATTTTAAGAAATATCTACTATTTTATGTAGAGAAAACCGAGTGAAAAATTTAAAAAGTATGAAACATATCTAATCAGAACATTGCTCTGGAATTTCCTGAGATATATTTGTGTATGTATATTATCGAGTTACATCTGTTTCGGACTTCTCTATTGTTTTTATTAAAACCGTCGATCATTAGCTTTGAATACTCGCGCGAGAAATTTCACCGCTGTCTCAATTATCCATTTGTTCTGCTCTCATGCGCATCGCATGTGCATCCTGTACCCTCCTTTTCTTGACATTATCACAGGCAAAATACTGTCAGCCATTAGCGCAAGACAATTCCGCCATAATACCACAAGGCAATTCATAACCCTGCAAGTCTACTCTCGCTATTTGGACGAATTCTGTATGGTTACTGAATAGTACTAACATTGTTAATACGTCTGATATACATATTCTACCAACGAAATTACTAAACGTAGAAACATATTAATTCCGAGGGAAATATTTCTTATCTTAGAGAACAAAAGATCAGAATGAGCGCGATGAAATTTCATTCATACCCGACACTCATAATACATATTCAGACGTTCCTTGGTATTTTCTGATATAATAATTTCCAGAGGAAAACTCACGTTAATTGGAATGTTCCTCAATCAGTCTCTACAATTTATTAATGTATCTGTGTTAAACCATCAGTACCTGTTGTGTTTCCCAAGTATCCGTTTTGCGCTTGTATATTATTTAATGTATTAATTATTATTTAATGTATCGTACCCGGAAGAGTTTCTACAATTCACCTTACACCATCATTTGATGTTTATTACATCCTCTATATTCCTTCCAATTATTAAAACTAATTAATTACTGTCTTCTACTCGCGTTGCATAACTGAACAACTTCCAAACGATCTTCGTATCGTGTACAGCTCGTCTACCATCATTTTGTACGTTAATCGGATAAACGAACATTAGATATCAAGATTTAGCCAGGGAAGCATCGTATCGTGTAAATACTTCTCGCTCATGAATGTTATGTACGAGTACATTAAAAGATTCTTTATACGCTATACCGTTTCCAGGTAATTGCTGTTCTCTCGCGAGAAAACAGCCTCGACAAAGTTTAATCCCAACAGGAAATGAGTACGAGCGTGAACGAGTAATTCGCAAAGAAACAAGGGTGTAACCGTCACAGAGATGGTCCCGCGGGATTAAGGTAAACTATCGACTCACCAAATTATCCGGATGAAGATGATGATGGCCGTAATCCCTAGGGTTGCCTCGTGATCCACCAGGCGAGCTGTGCCTTCGTCCACGTCCGTTCTCCAGCTCGTCCTCGTAGTCCTGCAAAAGAAACCGACAAACATCCCTTTTATCGCGTTCATCGACAGCGATCGGGAACATTCTCTGGAATGGATAAACGCTTCGTCTAAGAGGGCCGAGCACCGACGATATTGCTTTTTCTCGAACAATTTTCTGTACCTGGTTGTCGCACTCGTCGTCGTTGGAGAGGGCGAGATCGGAGGTCGTCACTTGGTGCTGCTGCGTCCTTCTACAGCCCACTCTGTAATGGCCAAAATTGCGATTTGAGACCACCCACCCTGTCGAGACTTCCACTGTCTCTCAATCAATTTTCCCTTTCTAGATCTACGGATCGTGCAATTGCATTCTGTTTCCTCCATTACTTGAAGCATCTACTTTATTTTATTTTATATAAATATTATCTTCCGTTCAACCTCGTTTCTTACATGAAATTCTCTTTTCTCATTTTCTGATTTTGATCTTTTTACTTTTTCTTGAAAGTTTCTCTTTTAGTCTATAGTGATCACCCATCGGCCACGTGCCAATTGAATATATGAAACGATTCGTCGGTTATTTTATCAAAGTAAATCGATTTATCGAATGTGAGAGTAAGTAGTAAAGACAACTACAATCTGAATTTAAGTTTACACGATCTTGTACTTATTCTTCGGTTAAAATTCGTGATTATCGTTCTAGCAAGACAAAGTCTACGTTCGTGACGACTGATAATTCTGCGATTGATAATCGTACAGACGACTCGAAACTTCTGGATATCGTGCCACGAGACCGTTTCGATCGGAACGAAAATAGAACTTTCTATTCTCACCCGGTGAAGTTAGACAGAAGAATGGAGCACATATGAGCGACGACAGCAATGCGGTTTATTTATATGTGTGCTATCGATTATTTAATGAGTATCGCACAGTAGTCGACCACCAACGAACCCTCCCGTGGATATCGCATGCCAAATCTATTTCCGTTTGTTGGCTCGTCCTTCGTCGAACTTTCAACAGCTCCAGGTGCTACCGATCGATCGATATCACGCTAATGGTTAATCAGGATGGTATTAAACATCAAAGACCAATTTTTAGAATTTTTTGTGAATTATACAATCGTCTACAAATATTTAGATACCACTTAATCATCGCGCGAATACAATGACAGCGATAAAAGAGCGAACAATTGAAGATGAATGAAAATTGTTTCTGCAGACATCGGAGCTAAGCTGGTTTCGAGTGTGCTCAATGATAGAATCTTAGAACTTTTTAAATGTTTGTTTCCAGCTACGTTCTAAACATTTATATAGATTGTATGAAGTCATTTAATTATTAAACGTAGAACTTGACTGATGCAGTCAAGTACATTTCTTGCTTCAGATTAAATTTAGCAGATCACTTGGTTCCAGCCATGGCAGGAAGTAAAGAGTTAATATAATAAAGGCGCAAATTTGATCGAATTACACCAAGCGTCTGTATACTTCTAAAGAATTAATTTTTCAAACTATTCTGGTAATATTTGAGATAGATAGATACGTATTCGATTAAAAATCTTCCATAAATATCATCTGTAGAAAATTGATTTAGAGTTCACTTTAAAATGTACCACTTGAAATTGATATTATTTATCCGAAGATTATTCATGACACTGGTCACGTAAAAAGATTTCTGATGCAAAATTCTTTCACTAAATCTTTCGCTACTTATTTGTTTTTGACGTTGAGAAAGTGGAACGAAGAAAGACAGAACTCTGCCCCTGGCATGGACACAGACACTTTTTCCCCACGAACGTTTCGTTCGCGTAGCTATTACGGTACTGCTAACTCTCTCGAAGCTCATTTGTTTCATTCTGTTACCCGGGATACGACCTAGTGTTAGACCTTTGGCCGACCATAGAACGAAATTTTCAAGGGCCATATCAATACGTACATGTGTACGCTACTGCCGCATCAGCTCCATTATCGGACTGCGGTACAAGGATTTTGAGAATCGCTTCGGTAATGCGCCGCGGTATACCGTAATTTATGTTATTTTCTCTGTTAACCCTAAGCCACCAACCGATTAATAATATCATCAATTTTACGACCGAAAAATTCTGTATTCCTAGTGGATAACGTGCTTGATTATGGATCGCTAACCAAATGATGTATTAATTTACTCAGATTACGCTTCACCAATTATCGATTATTAATTAAATAACATATTAATTAATTTAGAGAAATGATCGGTAATATTTAACGTTAGAAGGATGATTTTTCCTTGAACGACTTACACGTTTTTAAAATCTCTTGATGCATAAACGAAAGCTGGAAACGAAATGTAAACGAATCGAAAATAGGTCATCACAAATCCTTCTTTATAAATACCATTATATTTTTAATCGTCAAGATGATGAACAAATATCATAATGTCTTCCACGTACAAAGGGTTAATTAAAGTCATATCAAATAAATAAGGAATATTAAACTATCATATACCAAATTAAATTCGAGTAAAGTCAGCACGAGGATCGATACAAACGCGCTTCTTAAACAAAGATCAACATTTACCGAAACAGATTATGAACAAATTGGATATAAGATCGAAATAATTCACGCGTTTTCAATCACTGTCAATGTAAATACAGGTTCGTAATGAAATATAAACGAAATGAACGCTGTAAGGACAAAGGATCGACCAAACAGTAAGATTGAAATCTCGTTAAAACATTCTGGTAGAAGCGAGAACATTCATCGCCTGATGCCACGAGCAATAATCGGATACCACTGAAAACCAATATCACTCCGGTGAGATATGCAAATCCTATTTTTCTCTCTGTTTTCGATTCACACGGTCATGGAACGCTTTATATGTACATTTCCCTCGTGCCATACCGGCGAGAGATATCGATTCAACGGAATTTACTTACGCCCAATTCCGTAGAAAGACACGTATATGTACACACGGAACGTCCCTAGTCTATCCATCACTTTGTGCTACGATTCACGTACAGGGTGTGCACCGAATTAATCGACCTGACCATTCCCTCGAACACGTTAGAGAAACTGGCACGGGACCAGAGAAATTTTCCACAAGATGGAACCTTTATAGGTGATATATTTCCTCCCTGAAGTATTTCTTTTTTAAACTTGCTACGGTCTTTAAATTTGTATACCTATCAATCTCTATACTTTATATATCAATTTATATACTTTTATGTCAATTTATTTTTGCATAATCTGGCTCCATTTTTACATAACGTATTATGTTATATTATCTTCGTTCTGACAAATGACAAGACTTTTTTAACCCTGTTGCGATCTTTGATTTATTTCCAATTCAATTTTCTTCTTCAACTGTTAAAAAATTTTTAAATTTGTAAAGAGAATATGTAAAGGTTATTGTTGATATGAATGCTCCCTCGTTTTAATTATATGATAAAATCTTCTTGGGATTACTATGAGTTTATTTTTTGTTGAAACATTGGGATTGACTCATAAAATTAAGGAAATTGAATAGACGTAGCAGGATCCTTTTTCTACCTTCATGCTCGACAAATATAAATATTTAAAAGTTACCTTGAATTAATATTGCCAGGTAAATGAAAGAAAATTTTCATTTACATGTTATTTTCAGTCTCACTTTCTATTAAAATTCAACTTCAATCCCACCATTCCTCTATTAAAATATTTCAGTCTACCTTCAAAAAGTCGATCGATCACCTTCGCAAATGTTTTCATCGAAATCAAATCGAGCCAACATTCTATCTCCAAGAGCAGGACGTAAAAAGCTAGTATCTTTTTTTAGAAAAAGCAACACCCCGTCCCATCGATCTCCACTTACGACGTGCTCCCTTGACCGTACATAAAATCCCGTCGAGGGCTCCGGCGAATTAATCGAACGATTCACAGAGCTGACCACCGATACACCCTGTACATATCCACACGTGTTCAACCAGCGCCCACGCAAAGATACAGAAACAACACACACGTACAGTGGCTACAAAAAGTATTTGCACATACCCTTATTTACCAATCATTATTTACCAATTAAGCACTTTCTTTCATCTAGCATTTCATTTTTAAAGTATCAATTTTTTGGCCAACTTGTTCAGTTCCATGAAAGTACTACTGTTCATAATTTAATATACTTATACGAAATTTAATATACTTGGATTAGCATGTAAATTAGTAATTAATTAATAGATCATTGGACGTTTGTGTAATTTCATATGAAGATTACACAGGTAAAGCTATAACCATTAAGCTGCCAATGTAAGTACACGCATACTTTATTGTTTATCGCGCCATTAATAACAAGTTAAGCAGTTTGTTTCCAAGTATAGATCGCTTAAAAATTGTTCAGAACGAAATGTGGTGAATTACAAGGCAAATTACTTAGCTCGATTCAATTATCCTCCTGACTTAAGTAATCCTACCTTAAGGTCTATCTGGCTAAAAACTTTTGCACACCACTGTATTGGCCGCTATTTACCCTCCCCCTTCTTCGATCCTCGTGTCTGCTTATCCTTGTACATACCTGCTACCAGTCAGGTGGCGTCGAAGGGGGTGGCTGAATGCGGGATACGTACTAAAGCCAGATCGAGCCTGGTAGGAAATGAAATATCGATGTATCTCGTACATCCGACATAGAAACGCCATTACAGCTATCCCTGTTTACTGGGAATCGCACCCTCCCTCTCATATCTTTTTCATTTCTTTTATTTTATCTTCTTTCTTCTTTTTTTTTTTTGGTTTGGAAGTTGGATTTCAAACCGCGAGAGAACGATCGATTATCGATCGCAGGTTCTTTTTTTTTTGGGTGGAAGTTGAGCTCGAAATTGGGTTAGGGTGCTTGGTTAGCGATTAAGGCTGTGACTTATAGGGAAGACAAAGGGTTGGAGATCTGCTAATCCTAACGAAAGGGCTAATAGTGAGAGTAAAATGCGTTTGCTTTCAGGGCTATGTTAGAGAACTCTTTGCGATAGAAATTTACGGGAAATTATTTTTGAAATGTATGAGGTTTTCTATTATTCTTGGAACTACGTGGGGTTGATACTGTTTTTCTCTCGAAGAATTAATTATGTTCGAGGGCCAGTGTAATTTCAGGCTTAGCGATACTTAGGTCACGAACAGTTTGAAAAATTGGTTTGTATTATTACTCGAACTGGATTATTACTACAGTCTCACATTCGAGAAATCGGTTCGCAATATGCACGCAACGAAACGATTCGAACCAATCACCGCGGTATTCGATACTGAGTTACTTCAAGTTTAACTGCAAACTTGCCGATTACTCTGGACGAGAAATCTAAACTTAAATTTTCTTCAACTTCGATCCACTATAGATTTTATCCAATTTAATTTCGATGCAACCTTTTCTCGTCGCTAATTTATTTTCATTTTAGGTAAGTAAATATTCTTCCGCATTATTATGAAGCAATTATCAATTTACAATGTTTTTAACAAATTTCCTTCGAATTTTCCAAGATAAAAAGAACAAATTGAGAAGAATAAGAGATATTTAGATCTAGAGTGGAGGATCTTCTAGAAAATCAAGAAAGATTCAAGGGTATCGTTGAAAAATGTCAAAAGATTCTCGTTTTATTGGAATCTTCTTGACCTGGTCCTGGGCATGTCGGCCCCGAGACCGCTGTCCTCGCTGGGCGATCTATATTCCTGGTTATCCCGCGGCAGAAGAGGTCCTGTTACTCCTAGAGGATCTCCCTCGACGTCCACCAGTCGTCCTGGACGGCAACAACCACTGGGTACACCCCTCTGCGAGAAATCATCAGATCCAGTCATGCCGTTCGCCAATCCATCGCCATTTTCAACCCGGTTTCGATGGCCAACGAGCACTTTTCACTTTCTTTTCCCCTCGATTCAATTCGTTTCGTCGATTTTCAACATTTTTTTCTTTCAAAAGTAACTTGTCCATCTCTTAATCGAATATTTTTTCGATAATTGATCTTACTCGATTACCTTTGCATTTGGAAATTCAACGAATTATGGAGAATTTTCCAATGAATTTTGATGGTTTCAGAACAATTTGATAGAAAATAAATGTAAATGTACCTACTGTGACTTACGGAGGCAATTGAACACTTGTCACACGAAACTTGTACGTACGTGTATGTGTTACATAAAATATTCTATTACACTAGTGAAATTTGAAATCAGTCTGAAAATGTATATAGAAGTTACAAGATATTTAATCCCGTATCCAGATACGGAAATTGAGAAACTTATAAATAACTAGTCAACTGGAGTTGACTAGTTTGACTTCAAGCAGACTCATATATTCGTAACAAGTTTCTGTAAGTGTTCGAATACTTCAGCGAGTTACCGTAAAGAATGAAGCGTAGTTGAACTCAGAGAAAGAAATAATAAATATCTGAGAGAGAAGCAAATGAAAAATATGAGGAAGCAGTAGCTTGGTCCATTGGGAAATCAATGAATTTCGTTTCCTACGTAAATCAGCGAATCGATTGTTCTATTCGTGCCAATACCTTCTCTGAGAGCCACCAATTAATTAGTCACAAAAGCGTCGATCCATCTGCCAATTTAGCAACGATCTATTATCGATCTGTACCGCGTGTCGTGGCTGAAGTTTGTCGCACAGTTGACACTTGATTTACGATGACTTCCGGTGGCTCTCTTCCGTTCAAAGATCACGAAATCTGCTCCGTGAACCGTGAAACTGCATGCCAGCCGTTCGTCATTAATCAAACATCATCCTGTTTTGTCGATTATCGATTTGTCGATTAGCCACGATGAAAACACTCTTTTCGAATCAATTAACCCGCAATGAATAACTTTTTGCCAATTAATGCAACTAGTTCCCGGGCATAATACCTTGCTCTACGTTATAATATTCATAAAAATTTTATTAAGTACTAGATGATAATATATGAAATGTCTGTTTTCTTTTCTGCTAAAATAAGTATGTTTTTTCTTTTCATCAATGTTTATTTATTATTAATTCTTTCGCTATGGTACTCTAGAGACTGAATATACTCTTCGTACTGATGAACAATATTTCCCTTGACACATTCTAAGGAATTCTGGGGAATTTAAAATATTCAAACGGACATTTCATCTGTTACAACTAAATGGAAAAACTTCTCGACTGTAAATACTGTTTTTGTTTCAATCTACCTCGAACTTCGCTTGAACATTCTCTTTGATTAATGAGGCATCAACGTGGAATTATCCCAGCCTCATTAGGCATTCCACTGTTTTCTGCCAATCGTCACTCGCGACTAAAGGGCTTCCCATTAGAGCAATTAAAGCTTTCCCTAGCATCGTAACCGTTTCGAGATTCTCTGATAAAATTGACAAAAGTTTCATGTAAGCGGTTTTCACTAATACTCCATAGAACTTAGATAAGCGAAACACAAAGGTTTAGGGATCGATGTAAAAGAAAGAAAAAAAGAGCCGTGTGGAAAGCTAAAACGCTAAGGACACGATAGTCAGAGAACAAAGCGAGAACGAAGGAAGCTTAGAACGAAGAGGATGCTTTCGTCGAAACAGAAATCGTTTCGTTCACAAACGATTCGGCGGAGGAGATTAAACGTGTCGCTCGTTTTCAACTCGTTGGCTACGAAACCGGCCATCAGCGAGCTAGCCCGAGCTTTGAACAAAGCTGGCAGGATCTTTCTATTTTTTCTCTTTCTGTTTTCCTTTTATAATTGGGCGATCTCGTATGCAGGAATTGTTACGAAATGGAAAAGCACCGTAGCGACGAGAGCTCAGTAAAGCTTTCAGGAAACCTTCCAGCTCCTGAATTGTGACGCACGAGATGCGACTAGGCTGATCTCCAACGAACCACTCTTAGCATCTCGTGATCCAGTGCGTGATCAGTCGCGATTTATCTAACTCAAAAAGAACTTCGATGGTCCTTGAGAAAAATTTTACTTGGCAGGAAAGGAATAATTTCTTTTAAACCAAATATGCCTGAATTTTCTCAAAGTAATATCATTTTTCCTGTACTTGAAGTCCAAATTGTATATATTACTTAAATTTGTATTTTTCATCAATTTGCTAATATTGTTAAAATATTGTATCAATAAAAACTATCTAGTAAGAGTATCTATGATGGAAAATACTAACTATTCGTATACGTCCATGAAATATAAAAACACTGGGGGAAATGGTCTTGAATGACCAAAATTTCGACGTCAATTCATATCTTTATGCTCAGTAATAAATACAACGTTTTGCCTCTCTTTTAATTATTACGTATTTCCTACCAATACCTGTCTGATCGAGCACTCGATCAAGCAAGATAGAACTGAACAGAAAATCCAGCAAAGCTCAGGCGAACTCGTTCGCATTTCTGTACTGTCTCCCCTGATGTGGTTAGCGTGAAAAGAAATAAAAAAAAAAGAAAAAAAAAAGAAAGAAAACAAAACGAAGTCAGGTGAAATAGATTCATTCGCATCCAGCAGCTGCATTCCACTCTGCAATACCTACTCTGCAAGCGTATCTAAGACCTATCGCATCTAGATTCGCATTCAGAACGAAGAATACTCGAAGCCACCGTTCCGATCGAACGAATCTTTTCCTCAGTCCAAGATTTTTCTCCTCGTTATTTCAAACGGTGAAACCGAATACTCTCACGACTCTCGTTGAGAAATCGTTTACACTGTCGAGACCTTAATTGCAACGACATTCAATCCACGGGCTTCGAATATTCACGCAATGGCACGGCTGAAGCACTACGCAAACAATCTCGACTGCACAGTCTCCTAAAGAGAACGCGGGACGTTGACGAGCGCAGACCGGAAACGAGGCGACACTGCCTGCCAGGAGAAGCGCACTAACACTAAGCGGAATTCATAAAAACACAGATAGACAGAAGAAAGTAGGAACAAGACAAAAGAGAATGATGCAGTATTCGAGTGGAAATAGAAGAAGAGCGGAAGAAGTATGAAAAAGATTGAAACGAAAGAGACGCTCCTCTACGAGAAACGGAAAAAGAAAGTGTACAAGATCGGCCAGCTAAATCGGATCACCTAAATATGTGCCTTGTTTAATTTTTTTATGAGAAAACTTCTCACGACAAAGTTACACCGTTGATCATACGTATTCAGGTAATTGTTTAATACAAATGGAACATTTTCTGCTACTTTCATATTTTAGTTATGTTTTTCATTTTATAAATCTCTTTCACTCATATTATGTGTTCTTTATAATAAAAATTTTGAAATAAGGAAAAATTTAAGTAGGTCGAAATATTTAAGCCGATATTTCAAGAGACGCTCTTTATTTTTCAATAGACGCTTTTTATACGCTCTACTGTACGCCATTTCAAGAGACACGTGTAACGGCGGAGAGAATTTTTTCTTCGTGTCATTATGTTTCTTCATAATATGATAAATAAGGCAGATATTTAGCTGGACCATTCTGTATAGAGTTTTGTATAGATGAAGAAGAAGCAGAAGGGGTTGCAGGAAAATTTTCGAGTCATGCTTCACCGGTCACCGAGATAGCCGAGAGCAATTAAGCTAAAAACAGAAAGTTCATCTCTCCCATCGACGTTCCATCGAAGTGGTCGCGAGACGTGTCTGGTAACTCGATGATTCCCTTTGGACGTTCTCCAGTTGGTTCTTCGTCTGCCATTTTGTTCTCTAGTCTTCTTTTCTTCGAGACAGTTCCCCTCCGTTATCTTCTCGCACCTCTCCAATCGACAATGAGCTTTTCCTATCTCTTCTCTTTCATCTTTCTTCGTCCCTTTTTACTTTCTTATTTTCGTTTGTTTCCTTCGTTCGTTAATATTCTTTCACTTACTTTTGTCTGAATCGAGATCGACTCTTCTAACACGTTCACTGTACTCGACATGGATTTATGCCGATACATAGTCTTTAAATCATGTGAGAGGTTCAACAATTAAATTGATACAATTTTTATTCTCTACAAATTTTTAAAGTTTAATATTGAAATTTTATATGATTGGTGTTTAATTTCCTAAAAATTGAATGATTTGTTTTGATGGAGGAAAAAAGCTCGGTTTTTGTGTGACTCAATGTATAGTAGTATATGTTTAAATAGAAAATTTGTATGCCGCAAATTCAATTTAATTTAATGCAATTATTGCTGAAAATATAAATTTGGTAGCCTTCCAGATAAAAATTTGACAGTGAACGTGTTAAAATGTTTTCTCTCTTGTTTTTACGTGCTCTCTCGGGATATTTAGACTCTTTTACGATTCTATTAAAATTCAACACATTCAACGAAGCGTTCGAGCATATACTTCCATCGCGAGAGAACCGGCTCGAGATCCTTTTCGAACAAACATATTTTATATTCGAAAAGGAAAATATCGTAGGGTTAGGTCGCTTGCGAGACTTGGCGACAGAGATAGGTAAAAAGAGAGACGAAAGGAGAGAACAGTCACCAGTTAAAATCTAACAGTTACAGTGGACAACGCAGAACAGAGAGTGAAAAAAACAGAGACAGATAGTTTCTATACATTTCCCGGAATAGAGATAGAAAAAAGACAAGTAGAAAGAGAAAGATAGAGAGAGAATAATCGTGTAAGGTAACAGTCGTTGTGTTTTGTGTGTTTGTCCCTTCATTCGTGTTATTGTATACGGTGAAACGAAAATTATTTTGTTCACTTACCGGAAGATCGTGTAGCGATGGCGTCACTATTAAATCCGAGTGGGCACGGTCACCTTTTCTCTGAAAATAATGAAGAATGGTTTAATCGTAATTTCTCAATTTCATACGAGTTTCAAATAATTAACCATGGGAAGTGAACATGTCATTTTGATGGTGCGTATGAACAATTTAAAAATGTTGGCGACTAATTAAACGATGATGTATTCGTCAATGTAGATGTGTTCACTTTTAATAAAACTGGTACTGTTTTTAATTCATTATGTCTTTCTTACAACAAGCTAGAAAAAATATACTTTTATTATCGGTGATTGGTAAAATTTGTTTTAAACAGCTGAAAAACCATAATCGTTCGATCATGAAAGAGTTCATTTCGATCTGACCAGATCGATACTATCGTAACTCAAAGCATACCCTTGCCATGGCTACCCGAGGCCTGTAAACCAAATCGTCGAAAGCAGCTCTGTCTTTACTGTCGACGAGTTCCCTCAGCTCGGTTAGAAGAGTTAGTTTCTCATGGGTGTTCAGCAGGTCACCTAAACTGACAACCAGCTCCTCGATCGTCATTCGACGCGTCCTATAATCAGCCAGCAGCTGAGAAAGTGCAGCCCTCTCGCTTCTCGCGAGGACCACCCTCGCCTTTTCTTCCACCATCGCTGCTGTCGCGGCAGAAACCGTGTGCATACCGCCTCTGTGCCTCCAATCACTCGCAATGCTAAAGAAAATATTAACGATATCGTTCAATCTCCATTTTTCGCCCCAAAATAGCATTTACTACGAAGTTTCGATCGATTTACTTTCAAAGGATAATAGGCGGGGATATTTAAATTGTAAATTTCCATGTCAATTTAAATATTTATGGAGATAACTGTAAAATAAGGGAATGGATGCTATATTGGTGCTATATATATATATATATATAAACGAAGTTTACACTCTATAGTTTGCTTTAAGTAGAATAGGTATTTCTTACGTAGGACTCGGTGGTCGATGATTTCCTGGACTTTCTAAGAGCAGAGGGTCGTGTTCGGGATACCTAGAGGTTGGCATAACGATGGGTTGACTCGTGGTGCAAGAATGTGGCACTTTTCCGACATCGCGAATCAACAGAGTCATTCTTTTGTTCGTCTTCAGAATTTCCACTGCCTCGTCGTGTGTTGCTTCCTCGAAGTTTTGTCCATTTACTTCGATAATTTGATCACCTACCTGGAAAGCAAGAAAATACAACGTTATATCCCATTCCTTATTCCTATTTTTATATCATTGCGGCATGTACTTCAGAAAATAGAAATATAATAAATTAATAAATTAACACACCTTTCATACTATTAAAGTAAGAGAAATTTAACAAATTACAAGCTGTTACTACTAATAAATTCTCTTCCGTAACAGTAACAAATTTTTAATCAAATCAGTAGAATTTTGTAAATACATTTTGGAGATTAAAATGGTTAATTTTATGGAATTTTGCAAAAGAGAAGCCTATAAGTTACAATTTGTAACTTGTCCTGAATTTTAATTATAACGTTCCATCATAGAATCGTAGTCCAGATCTATTATTTAATAATTAATTAACAATTTTCTTATATTTTTTTTCCTATATAGACACACGATGGATAATTGATTTTCCTGTCGAAATTCATCGAATCACGATAGCCCGCGAACGAAAATCGGAAATGCCCTTAAGTGCTTGCCTTTTCGAACGCCATCAAATCTTCGCGATCGTTAGCGTTCGCTCGATGAAGCATCATTTCGATCCACTTTCGTCATCGAAGTGCTTGCCGGTGTCGCGCCATTCTAACTCAACGAACTAATTAATTCTTCCTGACATTGAATTACGTAACGAACTAATTGATACCGCTCGTTATTCGTGCACGTCCTGTTACGTCTATCGTATTTAATCGTAACCGCTTTTCTACGAACTGATTGTCTCAATATCGATAGCAAACGAATTACGTATTCATGTATAGAAATTATGGATATAAAAAATTACCGTGTGCTTTCTTCTGCTAATTAATTAAACACAACTATTCTGAAGACTTGCGAGTTTCAAGTTATTTCATCGAACCTTCTCTTGATTTTTCACTTGTCGCGCAATTATCGTAACAATGTTAAAGGATCCTTGCTAAACCTATAATTCAGCAAATACTAAGTATTAAATTTTTAACTTATTTTATCCTGTTTCCATTGTATTAATTATTATAAAAATCTTTCTTTCTACTTTAGAAACGTATAACTTTTAAGTAACTTTGCCCTGTTTCATTTCCAAACATCTTAACAATCTTTTAAACTACCTACTCTAAAAAATTCCAACTCTGTTACTTCACTCGCGGTATCAGCACGGGAGGGAATAGAAAAAGGAAAAACTTTTCAATTTTATCACCGAGAAAATGGTCCGCTGACACATCGAAAAACCAAGTCTAATAAAAATACATCGAATCCATGGCATCGAAGGAAGAAATAAAATCTGAGATACTCTTACCAAGAGTCCAGCTCGGTCAGCTACGCTGTCCTTGTCGACCCCGGTCACATAAATCCCAAGGCCGTACTCAAGGCCACCCCTGATCATCAAACCAAGGGACTGACCGGGTTCGATGCAGAGCTCGACCTTCCTCGTCCTTGGACCGTACCTCGAGTCTCGAGGTGGATAAAGTGGAGGTGGTGATGTTGGACGACCTTGACGGTCGATCCAGCTGCAGGACTGCTGGCGACCGGAAGAAGACCAAACCGGATGCCCACCTCTACATCGGGGATCCAACGCTGGTCCCCGCACTGTCATACTCAAGGTCCTGCATGATTTCAGCATCTGCAATTAAAATTGCGAGTTTGTTAAATTTTGATAGAACACTATATAAATTGTCCGATTTTTCTGTTATTTTAATTGTATACTTTAATCATATTTCTATTATATTAATTTCATTTTAATTTCCGTATATTTGAGCAAATTTCATTGTAAATTTTAGTGCACAAAACATGTAGCTAAATGTAAAAATTATCGTGAACGAAGATGGCTGTTAGATTATCTGGGTGTGACAGGTTCCGCGGAAGAGTATCCACAAAGAGTGTGGGAACGTTTTGAAAATCGGTGGAAAATGGGTTAACGTGTGGTGCAGATGGGCTTAAAGTGGTGCTGGAAGAAATGGCAAGCTTGCAAATGACAAGAAGATCGAACTTGAGATTTTCGGAAATTAATATTTTCATGGAATTTGAAAGTTGAAGAAATCGAAACAGGAGAAAGCCCCAAAATTGAAAACGAAGAGACGAAAAATTATAAAATATGTATGTAAAGTATAAGGGACAAGAAACATAAAAGATAAAATATGCAGTCCTTGCAGTGTAAAAGAGGTACAGAAAGGTGAAAAGGAATAATCGTAACAGTAGAAAAAGTCGAAAATGCCCACGAAGGAAATTCTTCGGGGATAAAAAAAGAAGAAAAATTCCACAGATAAGAGATGTGAGCTTTTAAAAAACTAAGAGCAGAAATATAAAAATCCTAAAACGGAAAAGAGAGCGGCGGATCTAAAAAGGAATACAAAAATTAAATAGAAAGTAAGGTAAAAAAGTAAAGTTAAAATAAGTAAGTAAGTTCAATGAATTTATTTAACCACATCCATATATGAATTTGTTCCCTCTAACTGAGAAACCTTATTTAAACTGCTGTACGAAAGCGTCGTTTACGAGCCTGCTATACACTAGCTTCGAATTAAATGGAAAATTGAGGCAGGTTATTAATTCCTCCATAAAACGTAATGCCATCAAGGATAATTAACCTCTATTATTGGCCACTCTATTGAGTTCTTATTGACCCCCGGCTACCGAGCTGCATTTATCTTGCAGCTGACAAAGACTCTCTCGCGTTGTGTAAGTATAAACGTATAGCTGAAGAAAGTGACATAGTAAAACCGGTCACTGATTCAAATTTGCAATTTTCCATGACCGTAACAACTAATTAGACACGTACTGAGGACCATAAGAATTTCGAAGCCTCGTTCAGGTATCAACTGAGAACTACTTTTTCCTTTGTAATATAGTAATATAGATATAGTAAGAGAATCAATTTTGAAATAGTTTTACAGACCACTGTATATCGTTCAAATGTATATATTAACATACGCGGCACGCTTAACATGCAAAATGAAATTCCATACCTAACAGACGTATTGTTTAAACGAGGTTATTGCACTTGATCGAATAAATAGAAACATCGGAGAACTTAGACCATCCTTTGGTCATTATTCAAGCTTCGTGACGGCACTGTTATGCAAAAGAGCCTACGGACACGCACAAGCAGCAGAAGATTCCTCGCTGACGATCTTAGAATAGATCGCTTATACGTGTTGTGCCTCAACGAACTGAAAGAAATCATTGTTCGTCAAGGGTTTCTTCCGAGGCTACCTTGGCAAGTGAAACAGCCAACAATCGGCGTGTGCACCGCGTCAAAGAGGAACAAACGATTTCTATCCCGTTCTCCAGCGAGGATAAAAGCTACGACACTATCGTTGGCATACGATCCTTTGTAGAATTTCCGAAAGATCGCGTAGGCTACGCATACGTGTAACAAAGAGATCGAGTGTTCTCGATCGCGTTTTTGTCAGCCGTTTGAAGCTTCCAAAAAAGAACTGATTTTGCTATGTTTAATCTTCCTGTGATCTTCAAATTTTTATATTTTCATCTCTCTGCGTTTTTCTTTTTCTTTTTTTTTTTTGCTTGTTTTCAATCAGAATTTATTTTCCTGTGAAAAATTCTGCAGAAAATTTTTTAGGTTTGAAAAAAGAGAAGGAAGGTATGTAAAATATGTTATTAATATGCGCGATTGCTCGTTTTATTTTTATACTAAAAATTTTCTTCAACATTAACAACGAAATCGAAACAGACATTAAAACTAAGATCCCAGTAAGGTTAATATTCTTCTTATTTTAATGTTTGAAGACAATCTTTATGAACAACAATTCTTTCATATTTTTCTCAAACTACAATAATTGATTCAGAATAGAAAAATAATATTGGGTCGGAAATGATCTAAAGGATATATTCTGGTTAAAATCTCTCATACTATGGAGAATAGAAAGAAAAATAGTAAAAGGGAAAGTAACATTACTATATTACGTATCGAAGAGATAGAAAAGAGTAAAAAATTTTGAAAAGAGGAGAATTTGTAGAGAGAACGAATTTATGAGGGATCAAACAAGAGTTTCGAAACGGATGATAGAATTAAAGTCGAAGAAGAACATGTAAAAGGAATAAGGTTGGAGCAAATTCAGATCTTCACCGGAGTCTACAACCTTGGCGCGAATTAAATCAAACTGAAGAGAGAGAATTCCTCACAGAAAGATATACGCTTCGCGTATTAACAAGATCCGGTCGATCTTCAACGAGAATTTTTGCCGAATACGAAATGGTGCTTGAGTTGTTTGATTAACAGTAAAAATAGAAACCTATAATTGTACCTAAATATACGATTCTAGTCGAAATGGTATGATGAAAAAGGATAAGTATATTATAATATTATGTTGAGAAAACATGTTGGTCAACGTGGTTTCTGCGCGGTTCATATAATCCACGTTAAACTTATTTTTGGATGGAGAGAGTAGCTTTTTGTATCGATTTAAAAATATTTTAATACGTAAAGTCACGGAGATTTCCATTTGAAGCTTGTCGATTATTTCTTAAAAAAGTAGAGTCACTTTAAATTAATTGTTAGTGGCATCTTTAAAAATATTTCTGTGAGTTTCGTAATGCACCACTCCGAATTATATGGAAAAATCTGTGCGATTCCACCATCGATTGGATAGTACTTCTTATAAGTACGTATGAAGCTCAAAACATCAATCGTTATCGCTTGCCTACAATTCAGTTTACGACCTCGCTATACGTTTCTTTGCTCTGGGTTTAGGCTATAGATTATAGGCCTATTCTCATGTCAGAAAAGGATAGAAGGAACAATTCGACAAGAATTCGTCGAGGGAAACACGCGTCCGAAGAAAATTGACACGTGTAAGGTCATGAAGAAGTAGACGGTGCGTTCGACGGTGACGCCACTTGGTAGCTAGGATATCGATCTCCTGGCACTCCGTGACGTCACATCCTGCCTATCCTTGACCCAGCCCGAATCACGTCCTTAGGATTCCATGCTTCTGGCCCACGAAGATGCAATTTTGTCGTATCTATGCAAGGCATGTACTTGCGTCAATGTTCTTCCGCCTCCTTCATCACAGAGGACCCATCGAGAACGCGTGGAACTTTTCCGATGAGGCCGCATAAATTACTCTGTCCAAGTTGTTGGAATTACAACGCGATTCATCACGCCACGAAAATTAAGCTAATGGCATGCTTTTCGCAAAGCAAAATATTTGGTTGAGAACGTGAAACGTTTGTCGTTGAAGAAGAGTAACAATATCGATGGACTTTAGACAAAAGCTTCCATTTAAGCTTCCTGGACTGTTCCGCAATAATTTACCCAACAACCAATAGTATTTGTGTAAAATATACATAGATTTCAATTTTATGAAAATTTACAAATAAAGAGAATTTTTGGAAGTCTTCAAGTTTTATAAATGCCTATAGGTGAAATCTGGCGACAGAATAGATCGAGCAATCCAACAATTCATCCGAAAACTGTAAATCGATGACTAGTTCGCTGTCATAATTGAAGTGAGAGATTTTCACTAGAAAGCTACAGATGAAATGTGGTTTGACTACAAAGAAGACAGAGGCTACAAAAGAGAGAAATTTTTTTAACTTCCAAAACAATGGTATTATTCTAGCTATTTCCTCGTAAAATCGTGCAACGGTCCATGGCTCTGTTGCGATAAACGCAGAACGGAAATCGTGTTTCGCGTGTGCATGAACGATTAAAAAGCCTCACAGATTCTTATCCTTAATAAACCTGGTGGAACTTTCGTACGTGATATTGGCTGAAAGTACACAACTACTGTTTGCGTTTTTTACAAAACGCACGATAGACATATTTATAGAATTGTTATATGGGAAACGAGGAACTGCTGATTCATCCGTTGCAATAATCGATGTATAACAAAATGGATATTAAATAGACCATATCTGTAACTAATCGTATCTGGACTATAATTACAACATAACGATTATTGCATATCGTATTTATTATACAGTACTTATTGTAATATTCCATGGATGAAATAAATTTCTGTTGAAATTCCATTTGTTTAATTAATTTTATAGAAATGCGAATTTGCATAAATATTCGAAGTCTAACATAAATAATATAGCAATGTGTAATCAGAACGCCGAGCATGCAACGATTCAGTAGAATATACGCGTCCTGGTCAGCCCTCCTTCGTAAAAACATTACAGAATATACACATATTTTGCATAATGGTTTTTACTTAGCTTACTTTTTTCTCTGTCTGGGTGGATTTTTGTAAACGAAATTTCACTTACTTCCCGAACAGCTAAAAAGCTGAAATTTTAATTCTTGCATCAGCACCACTTTAGAAAAAAGTCGCTGTTTTAGATTTTCAACATGTCATATAATATAACATATAATAAAATATATATAAAATATAATATAACATATATTTTTGCATATGTAATAACCAAAAATGATTAGTGAACAATCCAAGCGACTTTTAGAATTTGTCATGTACATGTATGTGTGATACACAGAGAAAAAATAACTTTTTTAATGAAGCATTATTAACTAATAGAACGTTATTATATTATTAGACCTCATATTAGTTTAGTTTCAAAGTTATCAGAATTTTAACATTTTCAAAGACTGATGTCTTTGATACATCGCAAAGTTAATGCAACGAGTCCACCAGGTTTTTA